TCGTCGAGAGAGCATCTTTGTGGTGGGTTTTCCTTGCTGGGATGTTGCTACTGGTGGCTTGGTTGGAATCTTGATGTTGATCGACGGCACCCGGAGCCCTGGGCGCCGAAGGGTTGGTTGGACGTCTGAATTGTGGTCCTGCGGTAGGGGCAGGAATTGACCGTTTGTCAAGAGGTTCCGTCAATCCTTGACGGCCGCAATCGAGGGCGATGGTCCGTCTCAGGGCATCTTATGGAATTCTGATACCATGCGCTACTTCCGGGTGCCGTGGAAGGGATTCTCAGGGATAGCCTTAAGCACGGTGACTTTTTCCGACCCTGGGGGCTTATTATATCGTAGACTGCTGGGGATCGCGGTTGGCCGGGAAGTACAGGTATCATAATCATAACCTACAGTACAGCATGTGCCTTTGGTGCGCCTCCAGACCTGACCGGGTAGGTTACGAGTACCACAAATTCCTGACAATCAACATGATACCGGATACCGGTACCGTATACGGCCCGTAACCTGGTATTGCACGAGTACTGCCTCTGAGATGTTGGCAATTGGAGACCTCCTAGCTATTGAGTGTGGGATGTGAATTCTAAGTATACAAGAGGCCTCATGATGGCACGAGCATGAGAATCACAGTCTCATATTGTGGCAATATTGTATGTACGAGAATGCCGATCACGGTCGGGAATATCCCCATGCCCCGCTCCCATCCAACGCGCTTCCCGTGCTGGGGTTTTACCATGCTGTCTGTGCTTTTGGGAATTAGAATTTTTGCCATGGAAGTTGAAAGGTTAAATATTGCCAAGACGAATGTCCAGATGAGGGCTGACGGACTTCCTCTTTGTGACTAGCTTCCGCACACAAAATGCCCCACCAAAGAAAAAAACAGTCCCCCGACCTAACCCTGGAATTTTCCGGGCGCACAGTTCCACACTCCCGGTGTAGTTTGATATCGCACCGACGTGCTAAACGACAGCCAACTCCACCGGACCAACTTCAAAGACAGCCACCGAACAGCACCCCTCCCCCTACCAACCGCGAGGGATCACGAATTAGAGTCCCATCGTCGAAAAATTTGGGCAACATGGCTCCTCCTATCACCAACCTTTTCGATGCGACCACCCAAGACATAGAGATGCTCCTGGCTGCCCAGGCTCATATAGGATCAAAAAACTTGCAGGTCGGTCTTTGCGCGGATTAGCGGATTCTACGGCTTTGGAGTACCTGTGCTGACTGGAGCTCGGACAGGTTCACATGGACCCCTACGTCTGGAAGACGAGACCTGATGGTGTAAACATCATCAACATCGGAAAGACCTGGTAAGTCCATTGATAATAAGGCCCGATCTTTGCTCCCTGAGGTCGGCTTCCTTGGGGCCATTGAAACTTGGCCGTATTTTTCTAACCCCGAAGATAGGGAGAAGATTGTTCTTGCTGCTCGTATTATCGCTACCATTGACAATCCGGCTGATATCTGTGCTGTGTCTGCCCGCTCTTACGGCCAGCGGGCCGTCCTGAAGTTCGCTGCTCACACCGGTGCTACTGCCATCGCCGGTCGCTTCACTCCCGGCAACTTCACAAACTACATCACTCGTTCGTTCAAGGAGCCCCGCCTTATTATCGTTACCGACCCCCGCACCGACGCTCAGGCCATCAAGGAGGCTTCGTATGTCAACATTCCTGTTATCGCTTTGTGTGATACCGACTCCCCTACCGAGTTCGTGGACGTTGCTATCCCCGCCAACAACAAGACTCGTCATTCTATTGGCCTCATCTGGTGGATGCTTGCCCGTGAGGTCCTCCGTCTCCGTGGAACCATTTCGTCAAGAGAGGCTGAATGGGACGTCATGGTCGATCTTTACTTCTACCGCGATCCTGAGGCTGAGGAACAGAAGGCTGTTGAGGAGGCCGATAAGATTCCCGGTGCTGAGGAGGTTGTTGAGGGTGGGTTCTCTACTGGTGCTGCTGCTGGTGGCGAGTGGGATACCTCCAACACTGCTGGAACCTTTGTGCCTCCCGAAGCTACTGGCACTGGAACTAGCTGGGATGCTGAGGCAACAGGAGGCGAGTGGGCTGCGGATACTACCGCAGCTGAAATCCCGGAGGCCACGAGCGGTTGGTGAGGGGGTTGGTGTTAAATGATATTTTTTTTCTTTTACGAACAAATAAAAAAAAGGTTTCATAAATTTGGGAAGCTCAAAATGACATCGGGCTTTCTTGTGCCTAAGCTCTTTCTTTTTCTTTTTTTTTTGCGGGGAAAAGTGGGATAGGTATGGGTTGGCGGTGCCTGCGTAAATGTCTTCTATGGTCGTGTGTACCTTTAAGGTTTTGTACCGAGACGTGGAAGGTTTTTATTTATTTTGTTCCAGACTTTTTCCACCTTTTTTTTTTCTTTTTCTTTTATCCCAATTCGTATGATAAGTAGATAATTTTGAATCGATTCGGAGATGAGATCTCCTGTTGGGAATGGATTGACCTGTCTCCTGCTTGCTGATGCCAACCGGCGGAGGTTGGGGAAACAATCAAAGGGGTCATTGGCCTTGTCCCTTCTTGAAAAGACCAGAATAAAGTATAGGTCTGCCCTTGCCCACACATCTCGGGCCCGGCGATGACCACCGTCCGGGTGTCTGAGCCACGTTTTGCGGATCTCTCCCTGACCTGTCTTACACTACCGTACTCGAGTACTGTTACCTTCTTCCCGGCCCGCATAGGAGGTACTGTACTCGGGTACGAGTGATTGTGCGAGCACACACAGCGAGAGGCCTTGGCCTATTTTTATTATTATTATATACTTCGCCTGCATGAAACTGCGGTCGACTGGATGAGAATTGAGTTTGGCTTGTGGATCGGCTACGGCCTCCTTACGCCAAACACTTCCGTCTTGATATCCGATACCTTAAGTAGTATGTCCCTTTGCTCTGCCGTATAGAACTCCCTAGTCTATACTAATAATTGAATAGCATATGATACCTTTGTTGGTACCTTTGCAAACTCAAAAAAGACACCGGACCTTTGCTATAGCCACCGCATTAATGGAGTTAAAACAGAGTTTCCAACTATCGTCCTGGAAGCGGGGTGGAGCGAGTTGCAGGCCCAGGTAGAACGTGACTGCCAATTGTGGTTCGAAGGATCTGCTGGGGCTGTGAAGGTAGTTCTGTTTAAATTATTCGAGCCGAATATATTCAATGAAATTAAGGCCACTCTAAACGTCTGCCGGGTTGTGGAGGGCGCAATAGTTCCGGATACATTGGCATGCTCTTCCCTGCCCTACCATATCTTTATCTCTCTTATATCCTGCTAATCAATCCCCTCATCCTGCAAGAAATCTTCCCCCCCCCCCCTCTGAGCCTATTCACGATCCGTGCATCACGGTAGAAGAGCTTTTTGGGGACCGATCTCCCACTGGCCTGGATCCTCAGAATCTTTTTCTGTTGTCTTTGACACGACTTTGCTATTTAGTTGGACAAGAGATCTGTAAACAGAGACATCTCCTTATGGCCAACTGAGTACACTATATTAGTTCACGACAAACAATGAAAACAATTAACAAGGCAAATAATGGAAACAATAGCAAATACCGGTATGATACACCATGGTATTGCTCAAGGGTATCACCGCGTGCTAACACATATTACCGTAAAAACTCTTGAAATCCGCCATCTCTGTCATCCCTGTGACCTCCGGCTTCCGAGTCAAAAGGGTTTATGGAGGATTAGCAGTCTCTTGACATGGTATAGCGCAAGCTGCTTGGCAGTGTTGGATCCCATTAACTTGCTTTCACAATTCGGTTAACTCACTAAGCTAAACCTATCTGAGCTGATGTCGCGATTTATTATGCCAGATTTCAAGAGTTTTTACTGCACAAGACCATTTCCAAACATAGACGCGAACTTGAAAGCTATGCTTTGGCAACAGAATTTGTTGTACTTTGTAGTTGGCAAAGTCAAATAAGGAACATCACCGAGATCCCGTTTTGGCAGTTTAGATGTATGATACCATATAAATTTTTAGACTTGGTAAATTATGATACTTACAATTCAGCGACTTACCCTTAATCATGCCTGCCCAAGGGAAGGTTTGGTGACCATTATTACCAAGGTGCTCATAGTGCCGGATTTCATGTACGAGTATTCCTTCGTCTGTACCAAATTTCACTCGCTTTTAGTGCCACACTAACATGGTAATCGGCAATAGATAGGGCAGAATAAGGAAAGCCGGATCTATCCTTGAAGTGCTGAGGGATTCACCCCGGTTTAAAGTCATGAACACTAGCCCAGTTGAGTAATCATGATAGGAAAAACTCTGTGGATCCCAAGCAGAGTAGTGCTCAGAATATGGCGAAGTTCGTAAAGTTCAGTATGGCCATGACAGAAACTGGAGGGTCTATGTAAATCTAATCCCACCAACGCCCCCGCACCCCAAGAAATACTAGTACGAGTATTCCAAGTCCCTTAGAGCAACACACACCTTGGGATTTCTCGAATTCTTGCCTACACCAGCTTTTAAGTCACTTCCACAATCACATTCACAACAATCACCAATACAAGTGATGTCTCTCGATGGCTCTCTCCTGCGCAACGTCTCCTTTTATGATGCTACCAATCCTGATGTGGCTCTTGGAGGGCTTTTCCAAAACGGTTCTATAACTGAAGCGAACTTTCTTGACATGCTCGGAATTTTACTGGTTGAGGCGAGTCCTCTACGGCTTCAAGAAAGGGTATTAAACCATATCGTATCCAAAAGTAACTCGCCACTTGAGCCGGGAATATACGATATTTATTGCAAAGGTATGTACAATAGTTCCTGCATTGAGTGGGTAGCCCACGTGTTAATTTTGCCAGCTCCTGTCCGAGTAACCGATGAGCCTTTGATACCGCGGTCGATTTCTCATACTATCTGTGATGAAGGAGATAGATTCTATCAAGAAATCCGTAATCGTGACCAGAAGTGCGTTGTTTCGGGAATTATAAATCTTGAAATTAATATTCAAGCCAATAACTGGAGTGGGTTCGAAGTTGGCCATATCTTTCCTCTTGAGCATGGGGGTCTTGGGATTTGGAATGATCATGGACGATACATTTCTGGAATCAACGATTCTCCTGTGTCCGCAAAAATCGACTCCAGTCAAAATGGGATCCTCCTGGATGCAACTATACACCAAAAGTTTGATCAGTATCTTATCTTGGTGAATCCTGATGACAAGTATAAAATTGTCGTGTTCGAGCCCGATAATCGCGGACTAGATGGCAGAATTCTTGATACGGTATGTCACAACCCAGCCGATTCCCGCTGTGTGTCCGACGAGCTTCTTAAGTGGCATTTCCGCCAATCAGTCCTTGCGAATTTGAGAGGAGCAGGAGAGCCAATCTACGAGCATGACTTCCCACTAGGGACCGATACGGTGGGCCAGATGCCAGCCGGTCCATATGCACAAGCGAGATTCGAGTCGGAGATAGCTGCTAGATTGAAAGAGGTTTCCTAGGTGGTTGTTGGTATTTTCGGAGGATTGGCCGGGTTGCATCAGACTTTTTGAAACCGAAAAATTACTAGGTAGGTGAATACCAACTAGATGGGCGAATAGAAATATAATTCAATGAGTGGTTGCTCATGTTGTATCCTTTTTCTTCACACTTATTCTTAGGCTATCTCATGTTCGGCACCCAGGGTTGTCATTGTATAAGGGGGAAAGGGGAGGAAAGGGATTGCTCATAGTTTAGCTGACGATATCTTGGAGGGGTATGACTATACGATCTTGGTGACAAAAGAAACTGACCCTCTACTACCGCTCGGGGGTTTTTCCTGCATAGGATGCTCCTTTCTATTGTGTGAGGAATGATTATCCCAAGAATGGAAGCAATTTTAGAAATAGCAGAAAGTTTAAGGTGAAAATCAAAAATCGAAAATTTTATATGCCCAATGACTGCACCCGTTCCACTATCCTCAAGGACTACATCAAGGTCGTTTCCAAAGCTTTTCAATCCCTTCCAACCACGAATGCTCGCGGCCCCGCCAACACCCCTATCGAAAAGGGACCCAGCGCTATAATCGCCCCGTGCACAAACCACGAAGAATGCCCAATATTCCTCTCTGGCCCCACGGACGGCACCGAACGCGGGGACCACTGCCGCTTCTCACAGCGCTATACGCACCCTGACTATCTCCAGAGACTCACGGGGGAGTCACCCGGGAACCGTGAGGAGCTCGAGTACTCACTCACACGTCGCGTGGCGTCGACGACCGCACCAACACGAAGAACAAGATCAGCCCAACGATAGACGACTTTGGCATAACCCCTGTCGACGGCGAACCTGACACTCCGGTTCAAGGCCCATATACAGCATAACAACTCCACAATTACTGTCTAACCCTCCCGCGCATCACCCTCTCACACATAAGATGCCATGGGCATGTAATACTCGATGTGTGCACTGCGACAGGCTCCTTCAAACGCTGGACTGTCCCTAAGAGCCTCGGAAAATTGGAGTATAGAGATGCACAGGAGAGCAGATGGGGTGATCTCTGGGCGCGTGGTGGGAAATCTCGCACAAGACGGAGCATAAAGATTGGTGATGGCAACAAGAGGCTTAAGTCAAAGTTGGTTGCCATCAAGGACCCTTATGGTGATGGGGTGAGGCTATCGTCCAGGATAAGATGACCGCCTTCCTAAAGGTGCGGAAGAAGCAGGCAAAGGAGGCTAGGAAGGTGGCAAGACTTGAGAGGAAGCTCGAGGCTAGGGAGAGGCATGCCGAAATGGTTATCTAGCTCAAGGAGGAGAAGCAGGAGAAGAAGGTCGCAAGGCTTCGGGGGAAGCTGGAGTTTAGGGCCAGGCATGCTGAAATGCTTAGCCAGCACAAGGAGGAGGAAAGAAAGCTGTAGGGGAAGGCAATGGCGGAGAAGGCCAGGGAGACGCACAAAGAGATGGTTCGTATGCATAGAGAGAGGAGGGGAAGGAAACAGCAGGAGGTGCAAATGCCGAAAACGGAGTAGGAGGTGACGAAGGCGGGGGGGGGGGGCGCATAACCGCAGATCCACACCCACAATGTAACCGTATTTTCATATACCCAGCATAGGCCACTAGTGGGTAGGGTGTATATATGAGGCTTCCAGATCTTGTGAATTATTTGTCTAGCTCCAAAAGATGTTATCCATAGCGGTCATTGATAGTGGGTAATGGGTCAGTGCGTCCTTCTAAAGGTCGAGTGATTGTCGATGAAAGGCGACCACCACCCCACCCCCCACTTCCCGAAATCCACCTAAATATCTCTTCCCAACTTGGGGACAATTTTCTGCTATCATACGAGGGGGGGAATGCCAATGTGGGTTTTCTTCTCCATTGGAGGGATTCTATCATAATTATCATAATTATAATTATTAAATTTTGAATCATTTTTTTCTTCCATAATTAGATGATTTCAATTTCTGCCATTGGGGCCCAAACCACGAGCCCGCCCACGTTGGTCTACCCACCCGTATGAGCCGCTGTAGTAGTTAATGCCTGAATTCAGAGAAACCAGTATTTGTCCATCGAGTGATGTTTTGATTCCCCTATCAACACAAGCTTCAATCCTTAAATTTGTAGCTAAATATAGTGGTGGGGTATCATATTGGTACTGCAGAGACTCACATATACCATGCATACCGAGAACTTGCGAACGATTGCTTGCCTGCAGACAAGTGGTCTGAACGAAGCAGGGTTTCATATGGGAAGGGCTGTCTGTTGTGTTCTGTCCGCTTCAAATGTGCTTATTCCATCCAAGCGCTTCATAGGGCGGTATCATATCTACATTCTGAGTATGATATGATAACGGGGAATTGGTAGGCAAGCTGGTTTTTTTTGTCGGTTGGCGGAGTCGAGGGAGGGGTTCGCGGTGAAGTTATCATAAAAGCAATTCCGTATTTCTTCTGACTGTTTGATTGCCATTTTTTTTTTACTAGGGGGGGTCTTTCGGGGTTTTGTGTATTCTTGATTCGTGATTCGTGCTGCGGTCTATATTATCATCGTTTAATCACACGAAGTTGGCTTTAATAGAACCACAATTATCTTAGTCGTTCCAAGGTTAAAAACAAAGCAGAATTCATTCTAACCTTTCCTCCTTAATCATTGGTATATGGAACTGTGCTGCTCTCGCTCACGGCTCTTTGGCCCCTCTTTTTTTTTGAAATTGTGAGGGCATCCTTAGTTGGTTAGTATCGGAGGGAGTTGAAAGACTCCTTTGACACTTGCTTATCGTGAGTGGGGAGGGTTTTGTTGTTGCTCAGCAGCCTTTCGGTGGAGTGTGAGGAGGTGTTTCTTTCCAACTGGTCTTCAGAGGGGTGTGCTATTGGAGGGTAGTTGCTAATCGGTGTCTGCTAAGTACTCGTATGGTATGATATCGTACTATTCATGGAGCCGTGTCATTAACAGTGTTCCCAACCGTCCGGGGCCCTACAGGGCCTGGGCAGGGCATGGCGTCCGTCTTTCGTAAAGACGGCCCTCGTAGGGGTAGATGCCCGGGCCCTATAGTCTTAGTACAAATGGGATCTTCCGGCCGTCATCTTCAGTCATCTGTAGGAATATGGCGTATTTCCCATTTTGAGACACCTGCGGGGCCTGCCAGTCCGTCCCGGGCACCCTCCCATGCACTGCCGCCCGTCCCGTCCACACCCAAAGACGGACGGACTGGACGCTTGGGTTCACTGGTCATTAAGTCTTTACATAGTTGCTCACAATGGCTCATGAGAATCCTTCCGCTATCGCACACCACTTTTCTTCCATCTGAACAATATTGTATAGTATTTTGTTTATTTATTGTACAATGAAAGAAGAAAGAAAAAGAAAAAAAATGCAAGGGGCAAAAATGTACTGCTGGGGAAAAAAGAAATCATAGGATGAAAGCTGCAAGGTAAAATTAGAAATTCGTGACAGTGATAGGGCTGCTTCCAAACTCTACTGTACTCGGGAAAAAAACAGAAATTCACAAACCCACCGCCCGGCTTTAGAAGAGAGTCCCTAGGAAGATTCAAGTCGCACAATGGGGATGTACTGTATATATATATGTGACTCTGAGTTCGTCTCGTGATATTTCCTTCAACTGCAAGGGGGATGTCCAAGGACGACTTCCGTGAGTAAGGTGCTCGGGAAGAGAAGGAACGGCGGTGGCTTCAACGAGGTGGCTTTCTCTAGGCCTAATCGCGCTGGGGCCTACCGCTTTATAGGATTGTGGCAGAGCTATCACGTTCTGGTGGCCATGCCTAGCTGCGAACGAGAGAGGTATTTTCCCGCCATTGCTTGGCTTGTCCAGGTCAACATCAACTCGCCCAAGTAGTATTTTCACAACGCCCTCATTCCCTCCCAAGCAGTGAGTGAGAGAGCGCTGTTCGTCCGCAATAATCTGGCCTGACGGGGTTGACTTCTTTCCGGGTGGGTAACATTTTCACCACTTCCCTGTCCGCCAATGCCCTCTTTCTGGGAACAGTACTGGCTTTGCCATGATGGCGGCTCAACAGCACATGTTCACATGACATGTCTAATATTCATATTCATATTCAATCACTTACGGAGGATATGTAACTAATTTCAGACATGTTACATGAACACTTCTCTTGAGTCCCCACCGTCGGGAGATCACAACTGACCGTGGGCGCCATAATTGGTAGTAGTTGTTGGCTGAGAATAGAGATCAATATACTCACCCAACAGTCCATCAGGAACTATTGGTTCGGAGTCTGAACTTGAAAGGGTTTTATTTTCCCTGATGACACTCCATGTTACATAGGAAAACGAGGTAGGAGGTAGGCCGGGGACGGAGTTGAAGAACCTAGCCAATTGGTGCGTTCTAACTCTAAGGTTTCGTATCGGAAGCGTTCTCTTCCCGCTAGTAAAGCGCCAGTCATTGGCCACGCGCAACTAAATCCACTAGAGAGCTCTCTCTCCCACCAGGCAAGAGGACAGCCTCTGCCTCCTCTAACACCAGATGTGCTGCGAGACCTGCCCTCCGTTGGGTATGTTCTAGGAAGCCCACCTGCTGCAAGTAGAGGAGGACACAAGCGAGAGATGCAAGGGACAAGCTTGTCTTGTCTTCCGGAAAACCGGGTGATACCCCTACTTCCAATGTGCAGGCCGAGGCCAAGGCCAAGAAAACTCCTAAACGAGCAGAAACCATGGGTTCCAAAAGGTCTGCCGCCCAGGCCGTGTTGGATTCCCCAGGGGATGGGGATCGCACCCCAGCCTCCCATGGGCGGCGCTTGTCTGGGAATGATGTTGGCCCGGTCGAATCAGGATGAGGACAAGCCCGAATCGGAGGATTCTGGAGAAGAGCGTGAGTCCCAGAACGAGGGCTATCCGACCGCATTATTGTATAGCATCACAAATCATGGCTCTTTGCGTTTGTATGTCACCTGTAGATTAGGGACTGTTCGTGTCGTTCTTATATCTGCTCCTTATGTTATCTTTGATATTTTTTATGCTGTATGGGTGTTTGTCTCAATATCTATGGCTGTATGATTGCATCGTTGTAGCAGAGCAGTAGGTTACCCTAGCTCTAAATAAAATTTATAAATTTTTGAACGGTGCCCGTACTCTGAAATTGACTTTTTAGTGATGCTAGAGATGTTCTGGCAATGTGGGCTTTGGGGGTTACGCAGTATCACTCTGCAGCCCAGGAGCGTTAGACGCGGGAGCTCGTTGGGGCAATATTGGAGATTGAAGACTAATTAGTGTGGAACGGTATGAGTAGGAGGTGGGAGGAAGAGTGAGAGAGAATTGCTTGATTCTTTTCTCGCCGCATGCACCCAAGGCCCTCCTACTTACACCGGTATGCAGCCTCTAGAAGTACCGACATCACTATTGCCAGTTTCTCGACCGATGCGCGAGGTTGTGGGGGAGACGGCAGGAAATATTTATACTTTCCCTTACTCCGTAGCAGCGCTGCGGACATTTGAACGTCATTCGAACATAAAGCACGCACAGAATAAAAATCCGTTAAAACACATCACAGCGCAGCGCTCCGACGGGCTGCAAACCTGATAAACACCAGTGTCCCGGCCGGCATTACGGAAAAGACAGCACGCTTTGGATCTCCACGGCGGCACAAGTGGAAGAAGCATCTACTAGGAGCGCAAGGAGGGGGGGATGGGTGGGGATACTACAATTCGAGTGTTAAATCCACCTTACCACTACATCCTTATTTTTAGCACTTCTGCCTAGCCAGCATCTTATCGTTGCCAGATGGCAAGCTTACATTTGATAACTACAAGAGAATTTAGTATATCGGGACATGCAGCCACCTGGGTACTCATGGCCAATGAGATCACTACCAAGACCGGAATTGATAGCGCGGGTTAGCGTTTTCCGGTATTGTACCTGACGGTTCAAGCTCAGCATTTGTATCCGCCGTTCGGGAGATGGCGGAGGGGGCTGTTGGGAGGCCACTTTTCTGGAAAATGTTGGAGCATAAGGGAGATATTGACGGTGGGTAAGATAGGAAGGAGAAGGGGAAGGAACAGATGAGCTGCCATGCCATAGCCGGGTACTGGTCGTGGCTATGACGGATTCTCGTTTTTCTGAACATCCTTCCCTCTTCCATGCTCCTCTGCCGATGTACTATGGTGCACTCAGTGCTGATCTGCGGGATCTCCTATGCTCATTACCACTGTTTCCCAGTTACACAACGGGTGACTTTCACCACCGCACCCTCGCCAACCTTACAACCTCCTGACCATGAATTATTTAAAGATGGTATACCCCTCTCTCCTTGCTTCTCATCCTTCGTCTTGGTACCCCTCATTTGCAGGTTGTCATACCGATGCTTACAGCGGCTTGAGTAGGCGATCAGGCTTTGTTTTTCTTGCGCCGCCTACCCACTGCGCACAAGTTACTGGCAAGTAGAACCTGAACATTTGTGTCTGAATTTAGTATGAGCGCTCAGATACGCACAGACAATTTGCCGTACAAATTGTTAATCCCTGTGTTCAGGTTCTTCTTGCCGGGAATGGTATCAACCGAACCCTTGATCCCTCATCATCCATAGTGACCAATCTGAGGCAACAGGTTAACAGCGTCCCTATCCCTTCGTCTGTACCGTATTTCATGACCTCACGCCCAAGACGAATAGGGCGATAGTCTCGCTACTTGAGGGAAAGATTAATTGACTTCTTGGGAGTCACAAATTCCATTGGCCAGGTCCCCATTGAGCAACCGTAGCCATCCTTTCATCAGCCTAGTTTTTGAAGATCAGAGGACAAGTTACGCGCTAAAAGGTCGTGAAACTCGGGAACGAACGAAGGGATTGCAGGCACATTCTCAGAGCCAAGCTTTATCGAACCCTTTTCAATTGCTAAAGCATGACATAACTCCCCCGCAGCCAATGGCCGCTCGGACCTCGAGATCCACATTAGCACCTCAACCGCGAGCTTCAGCTTGTCTCCATCCTGTTCCCTCATACGCTCCAGGGTTGCGACATATGCACCACCCATTTCTAGGCCATTGGTCATCTTTTTAGGTGTTTTTCTTCTCTGGGCAATGGTTGACTGGGCTGGGATTTCGTTCACGCTCAAGGAGGCAAGGAGAAATCTGCAATCATGTTAGCAAATAACCTGCAAATAAATCTCCTCAATGTCATGACATCTCTCACATACATTCCAGAAATCTCGCGGAGAATGGTGCAAAGGATTTCCTCCCTTAAATCCTGGCCCATCTCCTCAGGCTGTGTATCATTGCTCAATCTTATGGTGAGATATTTCTTGATATCTTCCTCTGTTGCATTGATTCAGATCTTGACGCTTCCGATAAGATTTCTCTCTATCTCATCCCGAATCGGTAGCCGACCGGTGAGGAATAGCCGGGTGTGGGACGACTCCTGAATTATCTGGGCTAATGATTTAAGAAGCTCCGGTCGATACTCTCTGTGAAGCTTATCCAACGCGTCGATACAACTGTAGCTCCTTTTCAGTGTCTTGAGTGATGAGATCAGCAGCTTGAGCATTTCTCCTGATTCGATCTCCCAACCGTCCGGTAGTTTTTTTGATCTCTGAAATGCCAACTTGCTTTCCTCCGGAACACGCTCTAGGCCACTTGTGACTTGCTTGAGTATGGCTCCTGAAATGGAGGTGGTGGACTCTCCCTTCTGAGTGTGGAAGTCGCAGTACAGGCATGCAACAGTGACCTGTTGTCCATATCTTTGACCGCATAAGGTTTCTAGAACTAACGAGCTGCGCAGAGGTACTACCAGTTAGCCTCCCCAATCTGCGGAAGAGGGTATTGTCTCATACGTGAGGTGTGTTTTCCCAACGCCGGGATCCCCGTAGCAAAACATAACAGGGCTGGCCACTCCATCCTCACCAGTATTCCAACTTACAAACTCGTCTATTTCTAAAAACCAATTACTTACCCCTCCACCTGAGATCTTCTGACATCCCGATGCCTCTTTCCCAGAGCCAACGGAGATAGCCATTCGAGAATCTGATGTCTCTCGTCGGTCGCCGAAAAGTCGCAGTTGTTCTAGGTGTTGTTATAGCTGCCGCTCACATCGCCGCAGTTGATGTTTTGTGAAGGGTTTGGTTTCTGGGATTCAAGGATATCCATGTTCGCTCTGTTGACAAGAGAGAGGAAGGGCGGGGTGGGGGCAATGACAATAGTGAGAGACTCTGTTTTGCTTGGTTGGGGAGGGGGAGGATCGGGTCTTAAGCAATGATACTTGTGCTAGTACAAGTGCGCGTACAGTAATTTACAAGGTAGCAACACCGGAAGGCAATGTGCACTCATTCCGGTGGCATTCCTATAGCAAACCCGACTAAGGCTCAGACAGAGTGGGGAATGAGTCAGAGACACAGATTTGAGGCTGATATTTTATTACGCTCTCTAATAACGTGCCAAGAAAGTTTCTTCTGCAGGCTACCTGCAGAACCCTTGAGTCTGATATATACAAGAGATGCGCAGGTAGACATATGCGGTACCGCTACTATAGTTCCCAGACCGGGAATTTCACACGTCGACAAGCATTTGGCACGTTTGAAAAATGAAGAAGGGGGGCAGCCTCCAAAAACGGCAAAGAGAAAGTCCCAGTTGCCCGGTGGCTGCTTGAATGCTGTGTTACGGGCAGTGCTCAAGTGTAGGCGGACGATGGGGATGTCCATACTACCAGCCTCACCAATCAAATCCTCTACAGTCGCATCCAGCTGTCCTCTACTCCCCCGGAACCACACCCCTCACTGAACCGTGAACTATCCAGGCCACCCTGCCACCTAATTACAGTGTGAATTCTGAGGTTCAGGAAGCTTTCGGTTGCGTACTGGTGGAACCCAAATGAGAGCACTAGGGGATGAAGCGGTAAATGCGCAATCACAGTACTGGTTGGCTCTCAGCTCAGTGGGGGGCGGAAGGATGGTAGGCTACGGTAGACGATCGACGGAAATGCTAGCTAAGGACAGGGCGGGAGATACTTAGAATGTCTCCATACAGTTAACAACGACTCCGGAAACCGAATAAAACCTGAAAGGCACTAAAAAAATATGATAGTAGCACACTCTCCTGAAAGCGCCCTTATCCACCACGTACATATCTCCGTGACCCTAGACTATCCAGAAGAATGCAAGCCGTGAAAACTGATTCCCCCTGTGCAAAGCCGACAGGCTGCAGGGATGAACACCGGACTGGAAGACCTATGACAATCTGCAAAAAATTCCCCCACACTAAACCAACTGCCCGATACTCGTATATGATGCCCCATGGCAATGGATATGAACTAAAACGAAAACCTATACCCTATGCGTTTTAGTCCATGGTACAAAAGCAGAAAACCACAGCCGCAAACCTGATCATGGCGCACCTAGGAGCTGCGGGCCCTATAACCGCATATCTCCTAGCCCCACGCCCTATTATAGGTGATCCAACGCTCACTCGAGTATGGGTATTCTGAAAAGTCCTCCCCCCCTGCTCCTCTTGAAGTCTTTTAATTAGTCCAGTGCTGGAGTACCGATGCTCCCAGGTGAAGAGATACGTGACTGCAAGTAACTCCATAGTGTATCATACCTTCCCAGACAGCGGACGCATCACGCCCGTAATATACACCCACCGTAAGTGAGGGGTCATTCTCCTCGCAAGAGTCGGCACACCCATCTAAAGCTCTCGGTTAACTGTGGCAGTTATCAGGTGAACCTGAAGAGCGGCTATTTCGCCAATTCACGATGTATTCACTGCGATCTTTGCTGCTTTATTGAAGGCGAAAGCCGTGCCGCCACTCTGGCATACACCTTGTAACAAAAATTGGTTAGCACGGGTATCATACCCATCGCTGGAAGCGTGCCATGCTTTACTCGTATCCGTTAGGAAATGTCGAAAGAGAATGAAGTACAA